AAACTACATAATAATTCACAATCTTTAATTAGGGGTCTAACATGGCATAAAATAATATCATAATCCGACAATACCTAGGAACTTTCAGAGAATCATTCTCACCATCCTTCGATCTGTCGTATCTATTCTTCAGAACTGTTTGCTTGACTCTGTTCAGTTGTACAGCGAGTTCAGCCTCTCACTATAGCCTTGAAATTTCAAACTTCACACCCAGAATATCACCCACAAGCAACAGTTCCCAGTCTACTCCTGCTCACTCCAAAACTATCCTTCAGGACTGAAGTGAGTCCCCCAAAACTCTTACTCACCTCAGTCCTCAGATCTGGTTTCAGAAGTTAAGTCACTGTTCCACCACAGTCAGGTGTTCCAAAAATAATTATACATCAAAAATTTCGATTGGACCATATCATGGGTACATTTGTATTTTTACCTTTGTGGAACTGTAAATGATTAAAAAGGCAATGTCCACATTTTAGACTTTTTTGAATGCAGGATATATTTTTAAATCCAATTTAACAGGAAGCAAGTATAAGCAGAATCTAATAATAATGACAATAATGAGAATAATAATGATAATCATCATCAAAAAAATCATATCAGTTGAATCATACTTATCTAATTAACATACTCAGAACAAAGTCAGCATTGCTTTCGCTCTTTCACAGTGATAATGTTCGAGAGGATGATGAGCATGCCTTTGCCACTGACTAAGGCAAATCTAGGTTCAAACTTTCAACTATTAGCTCATCTCGCAATCATAATGTCATTCATGCAGTGCCTTATCACCATATCAGTGCCTTAACTCTTTTCACATCGCAATGTTACCTTCAAAAGCAACCTAATTAGCTGGATAACCCCAGGTTGCTCTCCGATGCATGCATTGGAGTATAAATTTGTGTGGGTGCTTTGATACTTTCTGCTTGCACTTTCTTCTTTGCTTTAAGCAAGGGCCAGTGTCCCGCAGGTTTTAGATGTGTCCTTGATCCAACACAGCTGATTTAAATGGCTAAATTACCTCTTCAGCGTGTCTTGAAGTTCTCAAGATGTAATGAACTAATCCTTTGTTTGGGTGGCTGTAGCTCAGGTGGTAGAGCAGGTCATCTACTGATCGGAAGGTTGGTGGTTCGATTCCTGGCTCCTCCAGTCTGCATGCCAAATATCCTTGGGCAAGATACTAACCCCAAATTGCTCTCCGATGCATCCATCGGAGTATGAATGTGTGTGAATGTTAGCTATAAAGCACTTAGAGAGATGTGCTTGTGCGAATGGGTGTGAATGGGTGAATGCACAAGTTGTGTAAAGCGCTTTGAGTGCTCAGATGAGTAGAAAAGCGCTATATAAGAACCAGTCCATTTACCATTTACTTTGTTTCATTTGTGTTGGCCCAGGGTGATATCTAAAACCTGTAGGACACCGGCCCTTGAGGCCTGGAGTTGGACACCCCTGACATATACCATACCATAGCACCTTTATTTATAAAGCACTTTAAAATAAAGCCAGGCTTCACAAAGTGTACATATACAAGAAGCATAAACAGAAAATAATATTAAACATAGAGTTAAAAATAGAGAATTGGAAAAATAGGAAAAAAATAGATTCAACCTTTTAAAAAGCACCAAAGGCTTAAGCAAATAAATATGTTTTAAGAATTTTAAACAGTTTTAAACTCCCCACAAAAATAGCAAAGTCAAGTGTGTGTGTGTGCTTCTACGGTTAAGGGGACACCTTCTCAGATGATAAAACATAGGTATGATCCTTCATGTCTTGAATCTGAAGGTGTAGGCACAAGTCAAAATTTGCCTCCATGCACGTGAATGCTTACAATTTCTTTTCTCTTTGGCTCTTGGCATGATACACGTGTGGTCAGTGTTTAGCCACATAAAACATGATGGAATAACAAAATCCATCTCAACCACTATATTCAAGATGGCAGGCCAACATGGCTGAAAGAGAATTATACATTAAAATATACTGTATGTATGATTACAGTATTCTTTTTTTCTATTAAACTAAAGAAAACTTTTGCTAGGTTTAAATATACTAAACTAATTTAAGGGGAAAAAACCCAGCTGATTCTGAGGCAGCCAGTCAGGAATTGATTGATTTTTTTTTACATGAAACTGTTGTGGTAACAATTTTGAGTATTTTAACACTGTATAATTTTTTTTTAAATATCAAACATCCTTATTTGTAAATGAGCAGATACCTGTGAATTTCTGTGTAAGAACATGTAGCTCAGCCTGTTTGCACAAGTGATATGATTCATGAATTTGTCTGTTTCTACTCCACCATCACCAGGACTTAAGTACCTTCACTCTGCTGGAATTCTACATCGAGACATCAAACCTGGCAACCTCCTAGTCAACAGCAACTGTGTGCTCAAGGTGTGTGGGACAGGCAAGCATTAATCCTAACCCTATCTCTATGGCAAGGATTCTTTATGTGAGTTGTATGACAGGCATGTGACAGATAAAGAAATAAAAACTATGAATATTTATTGACAGTATAGATGATCATGTTTGTAGAGGAATGAAAAAAACAGATCACAGTTGATGGTAAAAATAAAATGGTAAATGGCCTGTATTTGTATAGCGCTTTACTAGTCCCTAAGGACCCCAAAGTGCTTTACACATCCATTCATCCACCCATTCACACACTGGTGATGGTAAGCTACATTGTAGCCACAGCCACCCTGGGGCAAACTGACAGAGGCGAGGCTGCCGAACACTGGCGCCACCGGGCCCTCGGGTGAAGTGTCTTGCCCAAGGACACAACGACCGAGACTGTCCAAGCCAGGGCTCGAGCCGGGAACCTTCCGATTACAAGGCGAATTCCCAACTCTTGAGCCACGATCGCCCCAGTTGATGCCTAAAAGAACAGACCAGAGGGAAAAACAAAGTAGCACTTGGACCACATAGTTCTTTCCTGATGCAAGAACCACAGGATCTTCCAGCCCACTTACAGCAAGTATCTAGACTTTGGGAAGAAGCCAGAGTACCCGGAGAGAAGCAGACACCATAAAGATGATGAATTCGAACGCAGCACCTTCTTGCTGTGAGGCAGTAATCCTGCCTCCTCATATTCTATTCTTTTTCAGTTGTCTCTTCATAGACAACCTTGTCTACCTCAAATAAGGATAGTTTAATTCAAGCTCCAACAGATCTTCTTCACAATGACCTATTATACGAAACCCTGGTTTTATCAAAGACCATGACCCGGTTGCCACAGAGATGCCACCTTAAGTTCCTGTTCCTGTTCACCACTAGGAGAACAGAAACTTAAGGTATCAAAATTACATTCAGTCCATTAAGTTGGACAGTTCTATCTGCTACCCAAACATTCTCTGTTTCATTTTTTCTCCTTTATCTTCACTCTTCCTGAAGTGACTTTGTAGGAATCCTAAAAGGTTGATTCTGTTCATCTGGATGTAGCGTTTTCAGTGGGAGAAACGTTTCGTCACTGACCTGTAGTCAGCTGAGACTTCTTAAGTCTCAGCTGACTACAGGTTTCCCCAATCTTATAAACAGTATATTTGCACAGTGATTGAAACTAGCCCACTAAATGAACAATGGGCTGTGAAGTCAGTCCCTTGATCATTAATATCCAAGTTGTCATGACCATTGTTCAACAACCACTGATCAAAGCCCATATCAAAGACCACTGATCATTGAGCTCCATGGCTTTTAAACCCCAAAACACGCTGCGCTAAAAATTGGTCCACCCCAAGGATTGGGTCCCCTGACACAAACAGAGTAATGTAGAGTATGCTGTGAAGTGCCAGGAGGTTTGCCATGATGTATATCGGAGAAACCAAACAACCTCTGGCGAAGCAAATGGCACAACACAGAAGAAGTAACTCATCAGGCGAGGACTCGGCAGTCTATTTACACTTACAGGCCAGTGGACACTCTTTCAGTGATGAGGATGTACACATCCTGGACAGGGAGGAACGCCGGTTTGAGTGGGGAGTCAAGGAGGCCATTTACATGAAAAAGGAAAGACCATCTTTGAATCAAGGAGGGAGCCTAGGGGTACATCTTTCACCATCTTACAATGCTGCAATTGCCAGCCAATCCCCATCATGACAATTTGCAAATGAATGATCAAGGAACTGACCTCACAGCCCATTGCTCATCAGTGGGCTAGTTTCAGTCATTGTGCAAAGGTACTGTCTATAAATTTAGGGAAACCTGCAGTCAGCTGAGACTGAAGAAGTTACTTGTGACGAAACGTTCTCCCAAATGCTACGTCCAGATAAACAGAATCAACCTTTTGGGATTTACTTACCTGGTTGATTGAGCATGCATCAAAACACTTTTCAGGAATGCTAACTCACTGCAAGTCATTGCAGTCTCCAGAGGTTGTTTAAAAAGTTTAAGATTAGGGTTTTGATTTGTGAGCAGTGAAAACCTTTCCAGCTCTAACTGCAAAAGGCAAAAGTTGCCAGCACCATCATTTCTTTTCTTCCTCATTAGCTCTTCTTTTCTCCATTTATACTTGCAGCAAGATGCCAGTTTCATTTTCCTCTGTCCGTCAAATGGCAGTGACTCTTTTTTCTCTGTCTTTCTTTTTTTTAACGTTTTTGGGTTCCCGTTTCTGGCACTGGGAAGTTTAGATTTTCTCTGTCCCACTTACTAATTTTGTTGGTTTACAGTTCCTGGCACTGAGTTGCCAGATACATGTTTCTTCGCCAGAAGACATCTCTTCGAATAAGAGATGTGTTATTCCTGGCTTCAACCTAGTGTACTTTTTCCAAAGTTTACATGTTTCTATTTAATTTCTCACATCTATCGCTACCAGTGAATTAAAATGTGTATGGCAAAGGTCCTGTCCACCATCTTCACTCAGTCATCGTTAATTATTAATTATAATAATAATTATAGAACTTAGTTAGGGGTTTCTAACATGTTAGAGTTTATTCACTGTCAATTCAGTTCACAAAGATACAAGTTAATTGAGAGTATTTGAAGAAACTGCATGTGCTTTTCAGGGTAGAAAAAAGTATGATTGCAAACCTCAAAAGTAATCTTCTGTCATTGTTTATTTGGGACCAAATAAGAAAAGTTAACCATTAATATACACACATAGACTATGAAAGTATATGTTTATGCATGAGAAACAAAACATCAGTGAAACTCTACTACAGTCATGGCCAAAAGTTTTGAGAATGACACAAATATTTGTTTTCACAAAGTTTGCTGCTTCAGTGTTTTTAGATCTTTGTGTCAGTTGTATCTGTGATGTACTTAAGTATAATTACAAACACTTCATAAGTTTCAAAGGCTTTTATTGACAATTACATCAAGTTTGTACAAAGAGTCAATATTTGCAGTGTTAGCTGTTCTTTTCCAGACCTCTGCAATTCACCTTTGTATGCTATCAATCAACTTCTGGGCCAAATCCTGACTGATGCCAACTCATTCTTTCATAATCAATGCTTGGAGTTTGTCATAATAAGTGGGTTTTTGTTTGTCCACCTGACTCTTGAGGATTGACCACAAGCTCTCAATTGGATTGAGGTCTGTGGAGTTTCCTGGCCATGGACCCAACATTTCAATATTTTGTTCTCCAAACCACTTAGTTATCACTTTGGCCTTATGGCACGGTGCTCCATCAGGCTGGAAAAGGCATTGTTCTCCACCAAATTGTTCTTGGATGGTTGGAAGAAGTTGCTGTTGGAGGATGTTTTGGTACCATTCTTTATTCATGGATGTGTTTTTTGGCAAAATTGTGAGTGAGCCCACTCCCTTGGATGAGAAGCAGCCCCACAGATGAATGTGTGCTTCACTGTTGGCATGAGACAAGACTGATGGTAGCACTCACCTTTTCTTCTGCGGACAATCCTTCTTCTTGATGCCCCAAACAATTGGAAAGAGGCTTTGTCAAAGAAAGTGACTTTACCCCAGTCCTCAGCAGTCCACTTGCTGTACTTTTTGCAGAATATCAGTCTGTCCCTGATGGTTTTTTTAGAGAAGTGGCTTCTTTACTGCCCTTCTTGACACCAAGCCATCTTCCAAAAGTCTTCACCTCATTGTGCGTGCAGATGCACTCACACCTGCCTGCTGCCATTCCTGAGCAAGCTCTGCACTGGTGGCTCTCTGATCCTGCAGTTAAATCATCTTTAGGAGACAGTCCCTGTGCTTGCTGGTGCCCTGAAGCCTTCTTCACAACAATTGAACATATTTCCTTGAAGTTCTTGATGATCCAATAAATGGTTGATTTAAGTGCAATCTTAATAACAACAACGTCCTTGCATGTGAAGCCCTTTTTATGTAACATAATGATGGCTGCACGTTTCTTTGCAGGTAACCATGGTTAAGAGGAAGGACAATGATTTCAAGCATCACACTCCTTTTAACACATCCAGTCTGCTGTTCTAACTGAACCAGCATGACATAATGATCATAATGATTTCCAGCCTTGTGCTCATCAACTTTCTTAATTGAGTTAACAAGAAGATTATTGAAATGATCTCAGTAGGTCCTTTTGTGGCAGCGATGCAATGCAGTTGAAATGGGTTTTGGGCGATTAAGTTCATTTTCGTGGCAAATAAGGACTTTGCTTCATAAAAACTGAAGCAGCAAACTTTGTGAAAACCATTATTTGTGTCATTCTCAAATCTTTTGGCCATGACTGTACATGCTGGAGCACAGTGGGTGAGGGAGGCAGAGAGGAGACAAGAAATCTTGGCAAGATTGATGGGTTTCAGAAGAAAGATGAATAAAAAGAAACCAGAAGATAAAAAGAGCTGCAGTAATCTCTGAATGTCTCTGTCTTTCAGATCTGTGATTTTGGCCTGGCTCGAGTGGAGGAGTCGGATGAATCAAGACACATGACTCAGGAAGTGGTAACACATTACTACCGAGCTCCAGAAATCCTCATGGGGAGCCGCCACTACTCCAACTCAATTGATATCTGGTCTGTAGGCTGCATCTTTGCTGAGTTGCTAGGGCGACGCATCCTCTTCCAAGCCCAAAGTCCTATTCAGCAGGTAGGCATGAGAAAGGCAAGGCATGAGAATTTTTTTGTCTGGAAAGATTTTGATACATAAAAGTAACAGTGTGTCCTTTTTTCCCATTTTTTGTGTTAAAATGTTAAAAACTGAATCATTACCAGTCACCACCAGGATTAGATGAAAACCTCCTCCTTAAAAGAAAAACAGTCATGCAACAAACTGTTGTGTCTCAGTATACTGTGATGTGTGTGCTTTTGTGTAGCTGGATTTAATCACTGACCTGTTGGGGACACCTTCTATGGAGGCGATGAGGACGGCATGTGAAGGCGCTCGTGCACATATTCTCAGAGGACCACACAAACAGGTCAAATAGTGCTTTTTTGCATCTGTTCTATGTGAAAAGACAAAACAATACAGATGAAACTGAAAGATCAGGTTAATTACATTTTATTTTTTGTTGCAATTCCTCCTGTCATAGAAACAGCACTATGGACTTGACTTGACTGCAAAAGGGACAGGGTTTCTAGCCTGTAATCACAATTACAAGTAAATAAGAATGTAATAATATGGTAATTAAGTTTATTTCCACGTAATTACCAAAGTAATCATTAAATTTGAATTAAACTAAAATTATGTTATTTGGAAATAGTATTTTAAATACAAATGCTAAGATTCAAATAAATGGTGA